AATTATAAAAAGCGCAGAAAAATAATAAAAAAACTGTTGCGCGCGAACTTTTGGGTGGATCTCGTACGTAGTCAACTTCTCACGTCACTACCCACCACCACCGTCACCACCACCACCACCACCGTCCATCACCACACCACCTCGGTCACCACCACCTCTACCTGACATTAATACAACATATGTTTCTAGGTACTAGCCACCTACCAACACACACACACACACACACACACACAGTTTTTAGAGAGAAAGAATAGGAACTAACAAGATGAGGTAATCCACAGTTAACTTCCCCAAATTCTTCCCTCCTTCGCTTCCCCCCCTCCCCCACCGCCAGGTGTTGTGTTTGAGGCCAATGTAAGTGTGTGTGTGTGTGTGTGTGTGTGTGTGTGTGTGTGTGTTTCTTTTCTTATCTCCCCTCTTCCCGTCCTTCCCCTCTCATTCTTTATCCTACTCTCTCTCTATCTCCTCTCTCTCTCTCTCTTTGTTATTCTGGTTTCCCTATAATCTTCTCTCTCTCTCTCTCTCTCTCTCTCTCTCTCTCTCTCTCTCTCTCTCTCTCTCTCTCTCTCTCTCGCTCTCTCTACTCTCTCCCTTCAGCATCTCTGCGTCCTCTTTCTCTCCCCGTTCTCTCCCAAACCCACCTCTCTCCCCTCCCACCCCTCCCACCCTGTGCTTTCCCAACATGCCGCCCCCGTCCGCCCACACACAGGAGCCAAAGGTCAGAGTTGAATGAAGCCGCTCGACTCTGCTAGACTAAGGAGGCGGTGGGTCCTGACGCCGCTAGCTGGCAGAATACACACGTTTGGGGTCCTGGCGTGCAGTGGTTGGTCCTTTACCCCCCTGTGATCTCTCTCTCTCTCTCTCTCTCCTCTCTCTCTCTCTCTCTGTGTGTGTGTGTGTGTGTCTTGCTTTTAATACACGGAATTATTCATACATACATGCATACACGATTGCATACATACATACATACATACACACATGCATACATATATAAATACATATTCTGTATAAACACACGTATATAAAACTAATCTACACACACACACACACACACACACACACACACACACACACACACACACACACAACAGCAGTGGAAGTGGACCATATGTGTTCAACCAAGCCAAAAGATACGTTCAACGAGGCAAGGTTATGTTCAACGGGGCAAAGTTATGTTCAACGGGGCAAAGTTATGTTCAACAGGGCAAAGTTATGCAATCAATGAAGTAGAGTGATGTGTTCAACGAGGCAGTGATGTGTTCAACGAGGAAATGATGTGTTCAACGAGGCAGTGATGTGTTCAACAGGGCAGTGATGTGTTCAACGAGGCAGTGATGTGTTCAACGAGGCAGTGATGTGTTCAACGAGGTACTGATGTGTTCAACGAGGCAGTGATGTGTTCAACGAGGTACTGATGTGTTCAACGAGGAAATGATGTGTTCAACGAGGCAGTGATGTGTTCAACGAGGCAGTGTGTTCAACGAGGAGGTGTGATGTGTTCAACGAGGAAGTGTGATATGTTCAACGAGGCAGAGAGCGAGACGCCCTTTATAGACGGCAGACGAAGGAGTGCCGCCGCAGGCCAACAATGTCCTTCCCAGAATCCTTCCTCCTCTCTCCCTCTCACTTTCACCCCCACTCTCACTCCCTCTGTCTCTCTCTCTCTCACTTTCACCTTCTCTCTCTCTGTCTCACTCTCTCCCTTCTTGCTTTAACTCCTCTCTCTCTCTCTCTCTCTCTCTCTCTCTCCTCTCCAACCTCCTATCTCCTCTCATCACCTTTCCCTCCTCTCCCTCCTCACTCACATTCCCATCTTCTCTCCCACTCACTCACTCACTCACTCACTCACTCCTCCTTACTCCCCTCCCACTCACTCACTCACTCATCCTGTAAACACATTTCAAAAAACAAACAAGAGAACCAAAACGTAATTGGACATAATGGAAGAAGAGAGAAATAAGATAAAGATGGAAAATAGAAAGAATAATAAGAAAACGAAGGAGACGATGAACAACAACAACAACAACAGCATCAATAACAAAATAAAAAATAAGGAAGAAGAACAAGAACAAATAAGAAACATAAAAACAAGAATACGACAAAAACACAAATGAAACAAATACACAAATCAAATCAAAACAAAACAAACAGGCCCCACAAGAACACAACCACCTGTGCCCCCCTCCCTCCTCCCTAATGACTAAGGTGTGAACTAGGTGAGACAGACAGACAGACAATGAGACGAGGATTAGGACAGTCAGTAATCAGTGTTAGGTGATAGTTAGTGTACAGATGAGGAGTTAGATCAGAGAACAAGTATGTGGATAAGGGTTATATTTGGTGGTGATAGGGTAGTTGAGGGGGTGGTGATAGGGGTGGTGGGGGGTGGTGATGGGGTGGTGGGGGTGGTGATAGGGGTGGTGATAGGAAAGAAGGAGGAGAAGAGAAGAAGAGATGAAGAAGATAGGAAGAAGTAAGAAAAAGACGAAAGAAAAATTTG